TCCCAGAAGTTTCATAAGCCCAAATTTCCTAGGTTTCAATTATTAAATTTTTCATTAAAGAAGCAGAAAGAACTTAAACTGGAATAAAAAAGATAATGGATCCTAACCCTGAGATAGTAGAGATGACAGAGTTATTTGATTAGTAAAGTTTAAAGCAGCCTTCAAAACAATCTTTTCCATGAAGTGGATTTTGGACCATCCTTAAAATCCCTGAAAGTCACTTAAAATGGGGAAAAAAAAGGAAAGTTTATGGCCAAGTAAAATTAGAAAATCTCAGCAAAGAAAATGAAGCTATAAAAGAAGAACCCAAATGAAAATCATAGTACAGAAGAATATAATAACTGAAAATAAATACCTAGGTGAATAGGCTCAAAGCAGAATGGATGGAACAAAGGAAACATTCAGGGAAATAGAAAATATAACAATAAAAATATCCAATGAGAATAGGGAGAACATGGACTTGAAAACAACAACAGAAAAAGATCAGAACCACAGGAACCAGTGGAGTCACAACAACAACACAAAAATCCTATCTAATAATAGACAAACATGGTAATTGACCGTACCTTTGCTACACCTCCCATTGGCTAATCAGTGCAATATGCAAACTAACTGCCAACAAAGATGGTGGCTAATTTGCATACTGCAGGCAGGGTGGGACAGTGCCATCCTGCCTGCCCCGCCGCCATCTGGGCCTGCTATTTGCGATCCAGGGCAGGCACCGAGGGATCGGGCCACCCGGAGAGCAGGCCTAAGCCAGCAGGTGGTTATCTCCCGAGGGGTCCCAGACGGTGAGAGGGCACAAGTGGGGCTGAGGGACACCCCCACCCCCCTCCCCCGCCAGTGCACAAATTTTTGTGCACCGGGCCTCTAGTAAATAAATAAAACTGTAACATTTGGAGTCCAGGAAGAAATTAAAGGAGATGGAGCTGAAAGAGTACTTGAAGAAATAATGGCTGAAAACTCTTTCAATTGGTCAAAAGACAGAAATCGTCAATTTTAAGAAGGTGAGGAAATACAATATGAGAGAAACCCAAAGATGGCAACACCCACATCATAGTCAAACTTCTGAAAAATAAAAACAAAGAAAAAAATCTTGAAAGTTCTGAATGACAAATAACACTGTATCTATAAGGAAAAAGTAATTCTCATGACAATAGGTTTTCCATTAGAAACCATAAATTCTAAAAATAAAAGAACTGTCAACAGAGTCCTATTTCCAATGAAAACATCTTTCAGCAACATGAGGAAAATCAATCCACCTCAGGAAAGAGAAAACACAAATGTAAACAAGAATTGATAAAGAATAATATCCAAATCTCAAAATATATATGAAATATATTCAATATCATCTCTCCAGGTAAACTCAGATTTATTCCTCTATTACTTACCAGGATAGCTAAAATTAAATAGGTTTATAATATTAATTATTGGCAAGTATCTGCAGGATCTGGAACTCTCATTCACTGCAGGTGGTTGTATAACTTAGATAAAAGGAAGCAAAACTGTATCTACTAAAACTAAACATATGCCTATAGCGTGAGTCATTAAATTTACTGCTTTTATATATCCAAAAGACATGAGCATATAGGTCCTCAAAATCATATGTGAAAGGATGTTTAGCGTACTTTATTCATAATATTTTTAAATTAGAAACAACTTACAAATCTGCCCACAGGAAAATGGAAGAGTGGTAGTAAATTCAAATAATAGAATACTGTGCACCTACAAAAAAAGAATAAAATCCTGATATGAAGAACAATATGGATTAATTTCATAGATATTATGTTGAGCAAAAGAAGTGAGACACAAATGAGAATACATCACATAAATCCACTGATATGAATTTCATGAACTGATGGTACTATCAATGATTATAAAGGTCAGAAAATTAAGAAATTATGAGGGTAGTAGTCAGAAAGGGGGATGAAAGAAACTTCTAAAATCTTGAAAAAGATTCTACATCTTATACTGGGTGTTACATATGTAAACAAGTTTGATCTCTACATTTACTTTTCATGCACAGGTGGAGTTAAATATAAGTGTTTTCTAGCACTGCAAGTCACTTATTATTTGAGCTTGGGTTCCTCAACTTTCAGAGTCTATGCTAATCTCCATTATGTCATATTACCATCTGAAGATAAATAGTGACATCAAGACTAGTTCTACAGCTCAGTAACTCTGAAAAATAAAAGAGGATTTATCCTGATTAAGAACTCTGAAGAATGCTGAGACCGGTTTGGCTCAGTGGATAGAGCGTCGGCCTGCGGACTCAAGGGTCCTGGGTTCGATTCTGGTCAGGGGCATGTACATTGGTTGCGGGCACATCCCCAGTGGGAGATGTGCAGGAGGCAGCTGGTCGATGTTTCTCTCTCATCGATGTTTCTAACTCTCTATCCCTCTCCCTTCCTCTCTGTAAAAAATCAATAAAATATATTTTTTTTAAAAAAAAGAACTCTGAAGAAATCATACTAACAATCCAATATAATTCACCATATATTCTGCATAAAATATTATCTCAAATGGAGTACAAATTATAATTCAATAATTGGATTTAAGAGGAAGTAAAAGAGTAGGTCTTTTGTTATTCTCATAGCTTGCAGTCTCAGTAGTAATACTGATAAACTATTGGAAAAGTAGGTTTTTACTTTTTCTACAAATATTTAAATTGTTTGCGTAATACCAAAAGACTGTAAATTTTTAGCCTAAACAGTTTAATATATTTTTATTGTCAATTTTAGAGAGGAAGGGAGAGGGAGAGGAAGATACAAACATCAATGATGAGAGAGAATCATTGATCGGCTTCCTCCTGCATACCCCACACTGGGGATCTATCCTGCAACTTGGGCATGTGCCCTACCCAGGAATCAAACTGTGACTTCTTGGTTCATAGGTTGATGCTCAACCACTGAGAAACACCAGCCAGGCAGCCTAAACATACTTTTAAAAATGACTGTCATATATTGGGAAATGAGACATTAAAGTAATATGTAATCTTATATAATAAAAGACTAATACGCAAATTGACCAAGCAGCGAAACAACCGATCACTATGACATGCACTGACCATCAGGGGGCAGATGCTCAATGCAGGAGCTGCCCCTGGTGGTCAGTCCACTCCCTCATGGGAAACACCACTCAGCCAGAAGCCCTGAGCCGGGCTCACTGCTGGCAAGTACAGTGGTAGTGGCAGGAGCCTCTCCCGTGGGAAGCGGGCCTAAACCATCAGTTGGACATCCACTGAGTGCTCCTGGACTGCGAGAGGGCACAGGCTGGGCTGAGGACCTCCCCAACCTGAGTGCACGAATTTCGTGCACTGGGCCTCTAGTTAATACCAAAGTCTCATAAAAATATTGGTTGACCATAGCCCCTTTGAAACATTGGAACAAGACAATGTGTATTTTCTCTGGTTCTGGGTATCTGGTTTTGTCTATTCTTTTACATAAGGAAATTTTGCTGTTGCTGCTCTCCCTGGCCAGTAAGTGAAAGAAGAACTCTATCTTTTTGCTTCAAAGATGCATTTCCTTCAGCTCTGAGCTTTCCAGAATTCTGCTTTCAAACTTCTATTTAACATGGTATATTTAACTAAAGATGGAGAATAATGATCTCTCTGAACACAAACTTTCTGAGGAAGTTGTCCCACAGAGCTTATGATAAGAAATCTCTCGCAGGCACGGCAGCCTCTGTTAGCTATGCTACAGGCAATAAAAAGATCACTCATGTGTTTACATCAATTATTTAACAAAACAGGTCCACAATGGTGATTCTTTTATCTGAAAGCCGCTTACCTCTGTACTGTCAAGAGAGGCAAGGTGGTGTCTGTTGGAATTAAGTGTCAACTTTTCTCTAATGTGGTTACTAACCTTGTCCATAGGAGGAGAGGATGTGGGTGATGCTGCCCCAAAAGTGTGTCCAGGAGGAACAAAGAAGTGAGTGGCACTGAGAGTGCAGACTGTGGAGCCCAGGGAAAAGGGCAAAGCTCAAGGGTGTGAAGGCGTGTGGACGTGCCTTCATGCTCCAAGTATGGTTCATGAGCCAGCAGCATCCCCATCTCTTGGGAGCAGGTTGGAGATGCAGAATCTTAGGCTTTTCCCCAGACTGACTGACAGGAACTACATTTTAACAGGATGCCCAGGTAATTCCCATGCACATTGACATGTGAGAAGCATTGGTGGCCAGAACTGGCAGTTACGAGTGAAAAACCTGTATGCTTTTCCAAGGCTATTAAATAATGGCTCCCAATGCTCAGTGTAACTACCCCTCACATTCACAAAAACACACACTGTAGTTTATTATGAGTTATGATTACAGCTGTAGAAGAAAGATTTCACTCATTTAAAAACATCAGGCAGTCAGAACAAGGTGAGACAGTTGAGGGGAGAGGCCACAGTAAGGGTCAGGGCAGAGCATCTGAGCAAGGAGAGTGGTGGGCTTCCATGAACTCGAGAGCTGGTAGTATTTTGATGTCATAAACATTGAGTTATAGGAGAAGAAAAGGAAGTAGGAGCTGATGTGGGCTGTTTTGTGGGAAGGGAATGGATATCTGGGTAGGGAGTACGGAGAAGGAATATCAGTGCCTAACAATTGTTTGAAAATTTCCAGTTCCAAAATGCTTGCCTTTGAGCCCTGAACCTCTCAGGCACTGTAGTAATTGGTCCTTGATGTTAATATCTTGTCACGTTTTTATAGCTTTCTTTTTTCAAATACCCTCCCCCTTACCTCCCTGACCCCATATCTATGACTTCATTTTTGCTTTAATCCATTCACCCTTTTTGGTTTTATTTAGACCCATGGGCCCTCTGCTAAGATATTCTCTCCCTCTCCTCAGAAACTGCCACCTATTGGAAGAAGAGGTCTCTATAAGACCAGTTACCCATCTTTGTCTAAGTACACATTCGAGGACCGTGAAGATGTTGTTAAAGCCAACATCCGTGATCCCTTGGAAATCATTCAAATATTACGTGAAAATGAACATCTTGGATTTCTTTATATGATTCCTGCAGTGCCAAGGTCTTCAATTGAATATGATACCTATAATCTGAAGTAAGTTCTTTTGTATGAAGCCACTTATTAATATTAAAAATTACACAGATTGCAAATGTTACCCATAATTCATTGGGTGTTAATGATAAATATGAGCCCTTGTCATTTTGGCTCAGTGGATAGAGCATTGGCCTGTGGACTGAAGGGTCCCAGGTTTGATTCCAGTTAAAGGCACATGCCTGGGTTGCAGGCTTGATCCCGAATAGGGGGCATGCAGAGGCAGCCGGTCAATGATTCTCTCTCATCGTTGATGTTTCTCTCTCTCTTTCCCTCTCCCTTCCTCTCTGAAATCAATAAAAATGTATTTTTTAAAAATGATAAATATGATACAATATAATTTTGGTTATCATCCAATGGTAAATGAATCTTAATCACAACAATTTTATTGATTTTGCCTTTATTTATGGACATTATCTATTTATGAAGCACTTATGTTTCTCATGTTTATATTATGTAATGTCATTTTTAATAAGTATTACAAACATTTTTATTATTTTGAGATTACTGAGAAAAGAAGATGGCAATGCCTAAAAAGTAGATGATGCATTATTTGTAATACATGTCATTTCAACTGACATTAGTTGTTGAAATATTCTTTTCTTAAATATCATAATAGTCTAGCTTTGCCACCAAATTCTTTGAATAACCTTCCCCATTCTCTGCTGTGTATGATGATAAAAGCACCTTCTAGGAAATATCTTGTTTTCCCCAATAATAGTTTTATTGCGTTAGATAACACTGAAGACAGTCCTCCTACTGGGGAGAAATGGGAGAGAAGATAAACATTGTACTTAAAATGGTAGAATTATTGTATGTACAAAAGAGCTGAACAGGAATGAAAAATAATTTGTAGAGAGAACAGACATGCTTATGGAAATCCAATTATTCAGGAAAATGTGTTGAGTACTCACTCTATAGCAGAAACTATTCTAGGTGCTAGAGATATATTAGTGAACCATCCAGATTAAAATTGCTACCCTTGTGGAGCTTAGATTTTAGCAGTGGGAGACAATATAAATACGATACATGAGTAAGTTTATATGGAATACTAGGAGGTGATAAGTATTATTTTAGGTAATAAAACCCTAATATGCAAATCAACTGAACAGCAGAACGACCGGTTGCTATGATGCGCATTGACCACCAGGGGGCAGACGCTCAATGCAGGAGCTTCCCCCTGGTGGTCAGTGAGCTCCCACAGGGGGAGCGCCACTCAGCCAGAAGCCGGGCTCACGGCTGGCAAGCACAGTGGTAGTGGCAGGAACCTCTCCCCACTCCATGGCAGCGCTAAGGAGCAGCAAGTCGAGCGGTAAGGAGCAACGAGCAGGTGGGAGGTAAGGAGCTAGGGGTTCCGGACTGCAAGAGGGATTCCAGACTGCAAGAGGGCAAGGCCGGGCTGAGGGACCCCCAGTGCATGAATTTTGTGCACCGGGCCTCTAGTAGGAAAAAAAAAGAGTAGAGCAAAGGGAGTTGGGAGTTCTTGGGAAGAGGTTGTGAATTAACCAGGGTGGTCAGGATGGGCATCATTGAGAAGCTGGCATTTGAACAGGGACTTGAAGGAGAAGAGGCGTGAATTATGTGGTGGTCAGGAGAGGGAAGAAGAGCATTCCAGACAGAAGGAAAGTGAATCTGAATATCCCAAGCTAGAGCATACTTGATATGTTCAAGAAGTGAAGAGGAGGCTGGAACGACTAGTTGAGTGAATGAGAGCTAGGGAACAGATCACACAGGACCTTGCTGGCCATTGTAAGGACATTAGACTTTACACTGAGAAAAATGGAGAACAATGGTAAGATTTCAAGCTGAGAAGTATTAAGATCTGAATTACATTTTGAAAAGGACCACTCTGGCTGCTATATAGACTTTTGAGGAACAAGAGTTGAAACGGAAAGACCAATTAGAAGGGCTGTAATTACTCAGGTGAAAGATGGACTAGGTGGCAGTGGTGGAAGTGGTAAGAAGTAGGTCGAATTCTGGAAGTAATTGGAAGGTCAAGTCAACAGGATGTTTTTATGAACTGTATGCAGGATGACGTTAATGACGCATTTTCCAAAACAAGAAAAAGGTAGAGTTATTAACTGAGATACAGAAGAGTGGATGGAAGAAGAGAGTTTGGTTTTGGACATACTCATTTTCGGATGCCAAAGGTAGAACAGAAATGGAGTGGTAGATGAAAGGAAATTAGGATCAGGGTGAGGTGTTCTTTTTAAGATGAGAGAAATAGCTTGTGTGGTTGTTGTTTTTTTAAGATGAAAGAATTAACATATAATGGAATTGAAAGCCCTTTGATGTAAAAATACTGTTGCACACTTAATAAGACTACAGCATAGTATAAACATAATTTTACAAGCAGTGAGAAACCAAAAAAATTGTATGGCTCCTTTTATTGCAATATTGATTTTATTGTGTTGGTCTGAAGCCAAACCTGCAAAATCTCTAAGGTATGCCTATATTGAAGATGGGACTGGAAACTATGCTTTTGTCTAATTGGGAAAATAATTGTATTTTTAGATTAATGAGCACTTCTTCTAGGGGAATTGAGTTGATGTTTTATATTTGGACTGACAGTAATGATGCTTGATAGGAATATGCCAGGCACAGTTTTAAGAAGATAGTGTTGGACCTGGCCAGGTGGTTCAGTTGGTTGGGTGTCGTCCCATGCACCAGGAGGTTGCAGGTTTGATCCAATGTCAAGGGCACCTGCCTGGGTTGCAGGTTCAATCCCCAGTAGGGTGCGTGCAGGAGGCAGCTGATGAATGCTGTGCTCTCACATCGATCTTTTTCTCCCTCTCCCTTCCTCTCTCTCTAAAAGTCAACAAAAACTATTTTTAAAAACAGAAAATAGTGTTGAAATCACAGTTTATCATGTTTTAGGGTTGATGTTAAATTTTTCTCCCTAGCCTAAATTCCAAATATTATAAACCTTATGAGTCAAGGCAAGGATTTGGATGCTACATAGTTGGAAGCAGCTAAATTGGAAGTTAAAAGTGGTAAATAATGGGTCAACGAGATGAGCAAATGTTATGCAAAACACCTTTTAAAAGTAGTGATAAAATATAATGTCTGCACATACTTTTTTAATTAAGTGTATTGTGGTGACATTGGTTAATATGATTATATAGGTTGCAGGTGTGGATTTCTGTGTTACAACATCTGTTTATTGCACTGTGTGCCCACCACCCAGAGTCAAATAGCTTCCGTCATCATATATTAGGTCCCCTTCACTCTCCACACCTCCGCCCCCTTCCCTCTGGCAACCCCCTCACTGCAGCGTGTGATCAGGAGTTTCAGTTTTATATCCCACATATGAGTGATGCCCTATGGTTCTTAGCTTTTTCTGCCTGAGTTATTTCCCTTCGCACAATATTCACAAAGTCCATCCGTGTTTGTCACAAATGGCAGAATTTCATCCTTTCTTATGGCTGAGTAGTATTCCATTGTGTATATGTACCACATCTTCTTTACCTAGCCCTCTATTGCAGGACACTTTGGTTGTTTCCATGTCTTGGCATCCGTGAATAATGCTACAATGAACATAAGGATGCATATATCTTTGCTAATATGTGTTTTCAAGTTTTTTGGGTATGTACCCAGGAGAGGGATTGCCAGGTCATATGGTAGCTCTATATACCAGGGACAAGGTGGTATTTCATTGTAGTTTTGATTTTCATTTCCTTAATTGTTAGTGAGGTTGAACATCCTTGTATATGTATATATCTATTGGCTGTCTGTATGTCTTCTTGGGAGAGGTGTCTGTTCAAGTCCTCTGCCCATTTTTTGATTGGGTTGTTTGTTTGTTGTATGAGTTCTTTATATATTTTAGGTATTAAGTCTTTGTCAGAATTATTGTTGCACATATCTCCTATTTGGTCGGCTGCCTCTTTGTTTTGTTGTTGGTTTCTTTCATGGTGCAGAAACTTTTTAGCTTGATATAATCCCATTCATTTATTTTTGCCTTTAATTCCCTTGCCTTTGGGGTCAAGTTCACAAAATTTTTTCTATAACCAAGGTCCATAAGTTTGGTACCTATGTTTTCTTCTATGTAAATGGTCTCTGATACATTTTGAATTAATTTTTAAACATGGGGACAAGCTGTAAACCAGTTTTATTCTTTTGTATATGGTTTTCCAATTTTCCCAGCACCATTTATTGAAGAGGCTATCTTTACTCCATTGTGTGTGTCTGTCTCTGCCGATACAATGCTGTTTTGATTATCATAGTTCTGTAAAATAATTTGAAGTGAGGTAGCATGATACCTCCAGCTTTGTTCTTTATTCTCAGGACTGCTTTGACTATTTGGGGTATTTTGTAATTCCATACAAATCTAATGATTTTTTTGTTCTATTTCTTTAAAAAATGACATTGGAATTTTGATTGGGATTGCATTAAATCTGTATTTTGCTTTGAGTAACATGGCCATTTTAACTACATTGATTCTTCCAATCCATGATCACAGGATATTTTTCCATTTTGTTGTGTCTGTTAATCTCTTTTAATAATGCTTTCTGGTTTTCAGTATATAGGACTTTCATGTCCTTTGTTCAGTTTATTCATAGATATTTTATTCTTTTGGTTGCAATTGCAAATGGAATTTTTTTATTTCTTTTTCTGTATCTTCATTGTTAATATACAGGAAGGCAGTTGATTTTTTTACATTGATTTTATATCCTGCAACTTTACTGTACTTGTTTATTGTTTCTAATAGTTTCTTGTGGAGTCTTTAAGGTTTTCCATATACAGAACCATGTTGTCCTTAAAAGTGACAGTATTACTTCTTTCTTTCCTATTTGGATGCCTTTTACTTCTTTCTCTTGCCTTATTGCTCTGTCTAGGACTTCTAGCACTATGCTGAATAAGAGTGGTAAGAGTGGACATCCTTGTCTTGTTCCTGATTTTAGAGGAAAATATTTCAGTTTTTCACCATTGAGTCTGATATTAGCTGAGGGCTCACCATATGGCCTATATTATGTTGAGGTACTTTCCTTCTATTCCTATCTTAT